CTCTCTCTCTATATATATATTCTATATATATTCCAGCCACATCTGAATATTTGGCCCTACAGAGAATGCCAATAATAGTCTTTTGTGGATAAATAACTGGTTGAGGTTAATAACTATAGCTGTTCTCAGCTGCTTATTGCTCCCTTAGGAAATATCTCTCAGTAGTTCAATTGGGTTTTGCTTATTGCAATAAATATATAACACAGGATGTGGCAGAGGTTGGAGAGAGAAACATTAACTGTATAAATATAATGGTAAGGCTAAGCTGGAAATCACAATTAGGTTCACACTTAAAAGCTATTCCTGCAGTTCTCAGCACAAGATAAATTCTTTCTTTTTGTTCCCCAAATCTGACAATTTTATCTGTATTTATATTTTTGTCTCTGTAGTAACATATTGGACCAACCCACAGTTCAAAATCAAATTGGAGGAGCCAGATGATGATCAGGAAGCAAATGCATGTGAGCCTTGTTGCACGATGATAGTAGGTTTGATGCAGAAAAATCGCAGACGACAGAAGATGAAGGGGGAAGATTGGCTCAAGATTGGCTACTGCATTTATCAGGTTCTTATTATTTTACTTGCTAGGATATGGGTACTTTTGCCCATAGAGCAATACTGTACAGGATTCAGGACAATGCCGATTAGGGTGGCTTGGGAGGACAATGGTGCTAGGTCGAGACCAATGATGGCGAACCTTTTCAGAATCGAGTGCCCAAACTGGAATGTGTGTGCATGCGCTAAAGCGCTGGAAACCCAAAGACCAGCTAGCTGGAGCGCACATGCCTGTTTTTTTGGGCCATTTTCAGCCTGGTTTTGGGTCAGAAATGGCCCCAAAATGGCCTGAAAACCAGCCCAAAAACATGCCTACAAATGGCACAAAAATGGCCTGAAAATGGCCCCCAAAACAGTGTGAAAAACAGCCTGTTTTTTTTGCTGTTTCCTGGCGCCTATGAAGACCCACTTGTCAGTGTGCATGTGCAGTGTGCATGTGCAGAGTGGGCTCTGCTACCTCTGACATGCGTGCCATAGGTTTGCCATCATAGACTGCTGGTGTATAGACCAGGACATTCTTGCTCAATTTCACAAAGAAAGATACACATACATCTTTTTTCCACCAAACACACTTTTTACTTTGTGTGTCTCACTCCTGTCATTCAAGATAGAATTTTAAAAAAAATGGGAGAAAAGGAGGTACAGTATTCAGCTTCTCAGACACTCCAAATTGTTCCCCAGATGTATTGATTTTCAGTTCTGATAGTCCATGGTTATGCTTTGGGAGATTATTGAAATCCAACACATCTGGAGAACAGCAGATTAGAAAATGCTGTAGTATGTAGGTTGACTTGTATTTTACTGTCTAACTATTTGTGATAGGGCCAATAGTGCTATCTTTCAACTGATTACTTTTATGTCTTGTAGATGCCCAAAGAGGTAACACCACTTTTGGAAATCTGAATCATGAAAAATGGCTACTCCTTGCCAGAACTGAATATTTTAATCATTTTCTTAAATGTTGATGCTTCTAGTCTGACAATTGACAGAGTAATATATGAGGACAATACATATTTCTTGGAAAATATGAAATATGGTTTGTAAGGCTGTTCAGATGCGTATCCAACAGTGCAGAAAGTACAATATAAAGTTAGGCAGGCAACTATTTCCCTAACCTTTCTCTCTTAAGCATATTTATTTTTGACTAAGCGGAGGAGATGGAAAAAAAGAAACTGATATGCTCTAGAGGCAAAAGTCAAAACTTTGCTTTATACCAATTATGCACTAGGTCTGTATATTGAAATATGCCACAAAATCATGGTAGCCATATTCTGTATTATGATTATGGCAAAAAAGTGTAATACATAAACTAGCATTAAATGTTAACTCTAATTTAAATGCCTAATGCAATATTATCTGCGGGAATGGGAGAAGGGGCATCAAAATGATGGTAAATGATGTGGTCCTGGTAATTAATGGATATCCTAGCAGTAGATAATAGAAAATACCTTGTTTTTAAACAAGTTGCACCTGGTTTGCTTGGCTGCTTTTATGAGTCGTTCCTTAGAAAACAAGCTTGCATAGTAATTTTAAAATATTCTTTTCTCTAATTTAATGTCTTTGTTCAATGTGAGGAAGCTCCTTTGTTTTATAATGCATATATATTGTTGGAATAGACTTTTATTATGAGTTACACAAAAACTCATAATCTATAAGGCCAGTGATTGGATGAGCATTTAAGTCACGGAAAAGTCTGTCAGAAAAATCAGCTTTGAAAATGGCTGTTTTGACATTTCCACAAGAGAAAGTATTTCTGCAGTCTGGAAATCATCTCACATTTTTATAAATTTGCAGTTTGTTCCCATTCATCATTCTGTAAGAAGAAAATGATTGGATGATGGTAAAAAAATGGTCTGAAAATAAACATTGCAGAATATTACGAGGCCAGCTATATGCTATTACAGTTGGCCAAAACAACACAGCCAAACACCAATATATATATACCAATATATATAAATATATACCAATATGTATATATATACATATATACNCACTGCCTTACAGCTAGTCTTTGGTTTACATCTAATCGTTCAGTGATCATTCAAATTTATGATGGCATTGAAAAAAATGGACTTACAAAAGGTCCACAATGTTGCAACCATCACAGTGTTCCCATAGTCAAAATTTTGAAACTTAATGACCGACCCACATTTACAACTGCTGTAGTGTCCCATGGTCACATTCTTCTGCCCTGAAGGAACTATCTCCATTTCAACTCCCCTCATCCATCATCTCCCTCTATCTCTGGCCTTTTGGCTGCTCCTACATAGCATAGACACTATATTACCTATATTACACTTCTGTCACCTCCCCGGCCTCTGCCCTCAACTGACCTATGTTGTTGTCTTTGATTTGCTTCTTCTCCCCTTGGCTACCTCCGCTGCTGGCTCCCTAGCCTTTAGGCTGCTGGTGAGCCTGCCCTGCATCAGCAGTCTGGCTGCTGCTGGTGTGGGTTCATGCTGACAATCTTGTCTTGCAAGGATGATTTCACACTGGCCCATCCTGGACCTGCCTGGCACCCAGGTGCAAAAGTCTGCAGTCTACATCAGCTTCTTCTTCTTCTTTTGCTTTTCCCTGCAAAGAGCCAACAACAACATGAGTGTCTCCACCAGAGCTCGCTGCTGGACTTTGTATTGTGATATTAAGTTGAAGTGGAGACAGTTCACAGATGGCAGGAAAAGTTTAAGATCTTCAGCTAACAAACAGTCCTGGCCTAATGAATACAATCTGGACTTCTGGGACTTCTGTTGCTAGGTGTCAGAATGTTAACACTTCTCAAATACGTAAGGTCCTAATATGTAAAAGGTGACCAGCTCTTAGTTGTCTACCCAACTTCACAGAAAAGATAATAAATCTGGAGTCTCCAAACAAAAAATTCACTGTTTCTCTTTCCAGTGTTGAGATTTGGACATCTGTTCAATCTTTACCTGTAGGTTCTGTCTGGCTTGAGATATGATGGTTTCTGCCTCACCAGCTTCAGTTCTTACATTACATTCAGATGATAAGATTAGATCTAATGGAATTTTACAATTCAATTTTACTAAGAAACATCTAAATACTAGGAACATTTTGTTATTAAAGTCACTTCATGGAAATAGAGGCATTTGTACATTGGAGAGCTTCAAGTATTTATTTGGGATGCTTAAGCTTGGGATTTCCAATTCTAAGGAGAAAGTTGGACTAGATGATTCTCCAACTTTATGATTCTTATGACTTTCAAACAGCATGCACTGAAACTAGAAATGTTTTGACAATAATTTTAATATGACAATAATTTTAATTTCTTCCTAGAATACCAGTGCAAAAATGCAAAAAACAAATAAGCAGCTGTTCTCATGCCATGCTTATTCTGTTACTGGAGCAGAAGAGGTAACGATACAAATTTTCAAAACCTAATTTGCAACAAAATTAAAATTCAGTAAAACATTTATTTGCTGGTATATTTATTTATCTTTAGTCTGCTCCTATTCTGAAAGATTCTGGGTGGCAATTAACAAGGCACAAATCTTGGAATGATATAATATTTCTTTACAGGGAAAGCTGGGGTTGAGTTCAGGGAAGGAGTTTTCCAGAGTGTGGGTTACCACAGGGAATCTATCATCGAGTCCAGGGATCCCCAACCCCTGAATCACAGACTGGTATCAATAAGGAAGTAGGCTGTACTCTGGACAATAATGGCAGGTGAGCAAGTGAAGTTTCATCTGTATTTGCAGCTGCTCCCTGTGCTAACATCACCACCTCAGCTCCACCTCAGCTCCACCTCAGGTCATCAGGCATTAGATTCTCATAGGAGCATGAGCCCTACTATAAACTGCACATGTGAAACATTTAGATTGTGCACTACTTAAGAGAATCTAATATCTGATGATCAGAGGTGGAGCTGTGATGCTAGCTCTGGGCAGTGGCTGCAAATGCTGATGAAGTGTTGCTCGCTCACCTACGGCTTGCATCCTGAAACCATCCCTCCCCCGGAAAAATTGTCTTCCACAAAACTGGTCTCTGGTGCCAAAAAAGGTAGAGAGCTGCTGATCTAGTCAATGCCCTGCATTTTCTTCAAGGGGTAGTTTCCAATTAGCTCTCTGTAGAATATGGGCAGATTCAACTATGGGAAAGCACTGCTTGACATATCTTGGGACTGTGTTTTAAAGTTTTAAGGGAATGGCAGTTATCTTTTGGGTGTAATTCAAAGTGCTGGTTGTTGAGATAAAATTGGAGGCTGACTGAAAATTATCATGCATGGCCAGATTGAGGGAAAGCTGCTTCGGGAGAGGGTGCTTTACCATCTTGTTCAAGGCAGGTGGCAAACACTATTCCTTAGGAAAACATTGATTGTCTCTCAGGTGTGGCCTCACATCTCTAAAAGAGCCATGAGGGATTACTATCACAAGTGACAAAATTCTGCCTACAGAGATCTTCTCCACTTTCTTGGATTCCAAAAGCTCAGAATTGTTTTTGTTCTTAATGAAAAACAATCAGTGCAGTCTCAGTATAACTGAACTTACTGAAGGCAGTGGGAGGGGATAGACAATGTGTAAAATAATCCAATCCAATGACTGTATTTGTGGTGTTTAATAGGTTACTTACCATGGCTTGCTGGAGCAATTAATCAGGATCAGAAATCCATGGGGTGAATGTGAATGGACAGGAGCCTGGAGTGATAAGTACATTCCTATTGCTGATTTTCTCCCTTTTGTCCTGGATCATCTGTAACATCATTTTCATTATTAATGCTTGCAATTCTGTACAAAGTATTACACAATCATATATAAGTGTTATGTCAAAGCACCTGGAATGCCCAAATATGGGAGGGAGCATACTGCTTCCCTTTTGCCTTTCAGCTCCACCCTAGGAGCCTTCCAGNGGACACACAGCCAGCACCAATCAGCACCAATCTACCAATCATGATATAACTACACAGCCAATCAATCCACTTACAGAAACAAAGCCAGCACTCCACACATACCCCACCAAGATTTATAGAAAGAGGGCAGCTCCGACCATGCTTTACTCACACAAACACGAAGCTGAAAACACCAGCCTGAAGATGGAGAGTGAGACCTCGCCGAAACATTGCCAAGACAGTCTCAATATGTGTGTGTGTGTGTGTGTGTGTGTGTGTGTGTATGATTTTGGTACTGTTAATAACAACAACAATAACATTATTACTACAAATAATAATAATAATAATAATAATTATTATTTCAGTTGAGTTTCATATTTAATGAATAAAAGACATAATAATGATCACTTTTTTCTAAAATGAGCCCAGAATGGTATGCAAGATAATAGATGTACAGAACTAGGATATAACAACCAAAAGCCTGAGAGAAAAACACATATACCAAACAATAACACTGTCAACTGAAAGAACAATAGCACTAAAAATCCCAAGTAGACAGATATGTTTTTATTTGTAGCCTAAACCTTGTAAATATGGAAGTCATCTTTGCACTACTAAAAGCAGAGTATAAAAATCTAGATAACTGCTAGTTGGCTGCAGACAGAAACAAAAAGCATATCAATACTCCAGTGTTTATATACTGTAGATTTCAATAGCTCAGGATTAGTACTCCTACCATCCAGACTTTTTCCATGGAGATTTCTATTATATGATGTTAGCTATATTGATTAGGGTTAGATTTAAGTTACATGTTGAATTCAGTTTTCCAACCAAAGGAAAAAGGCAATAACATCATCGACCTGCAGTCATATTCAACTTAGTCAATCATGCCAGAACTCCGGAAAGGTACATATAAAAAAGATGAAGTCTGCCTTGTGTGCCAGTATATGTAAGTAGGACAAGTTACATAATGAAATCCTAGCACAATCACTTATGTATCTGCTTGAAAGGAATATTTGTCCTGCTCTCTATTTTGATTCTTGTGCGCAATTAATGTTTTCATTCTTATTGTTCTCTTTAGTTAAAAAATCAAGCTAATGTTCATCTAAGCAGAGAGTTCTTCTCAACAAATAAACCTGTAGTTCATTTTGACCGAGAGGTCTGCTTGCGTGAAGCATCAAGTCGCTTCCACCTGCCACAAGGAGACTATTTTATTGTGCCATATACCTCTCAGCCTTTCCAAAATGGACACTTTTTCCTTAGGATCTTCTCTGTGAAACAGATTAAAGCTCAGTATGTATCTTTTACCATCACACGTCAAAAAGTATCATGCCATTTTGCATGGAAGTTGTTTAATATATGTGCATTTGGAAGGGAGTGCTTAAACTGTGGTCTCCCAGATATAACTGAATTCTAATTCCTATTGAAGTATGGCCAGCAGTCTGAATGGGGTTTGTCATGTGAGTTATCTAGAAGATCACAGGGTACCAATTCTATTAATATATATATATATATATATGAATGTAAAAGGGATTTACAAGGAACTTAATGTTGCTGAAGCATTCCTTTCTATCAGTCTTCATTATCTTTTCCACATTTCTTCTGTAAAGAATGGAGAAATATGTCTTCACAGCTAGAACGGTTTGGGGTAGATAAATGATAAAAGAAGCAGAATGAATTGCAAGGCAATAGGTGAGTGAGCACAAAAAGGCTGAGAAACAGAAGAGGAAATAGCAAAGGCACTGTGATCCATAGGAAAGGAGATGTAAATTGAATTTGAGAGGAAAAGTGAGAGTGGAGAACTCTAAAGAGTACCTTGTCCGCCCCCCCCCCCGAACTAAGATTATAGTTTTAGTTTCCAAGCTTATTTAAAAATTAAGGAAAATATCACAATTCTCTTTATCTGAACTTGTTCAGGCTCTTCCTTCTGACTATGGTCAAATATACAATTACTTGAGAAAAGTTATTTTTTATACTAGAATGAAAGTTAAGTCTATATTTAGGTGGAAATTATAGGTAGCAAGACAGGCAAACAATGGCAGTTAAGCCCACTGGTATTAAGTAGGAATGATACAATTGGACAATGGCTGTTATTTTTATTTTTTTCAAGGTATTTGTATCTATAGTTTTCAGGATAACTCACAAAAATGAACAAAATACAACAGCAAAAAATATAATTAAAACAATTGTACCTTTGAAGAAAAATCCAATAGAGACTTAAACCAAATACGCACTGTACTAAATATACGCATTGCTAACAATTTACTTTTCAAGATCGCAAACAAAATGAGAGTTAGGTTACTAAAACAATCCTATAGGAAATGCCAGGTAATTCTTGCTTAGAAGGCTTAACCCCAATTATGTTGTGATCACTGAGAAAATCCTTTCCTTAAGAGCCTCCTGAAGGGCATCAGAGAAGAAATTTCACTTCAGGTGAATATATACAAGAGAAGGGAACATTGCAAGAATCTTTGGCAGTCTTCCTTATCCTGCTGCCTTGTTTCAGGAAGGGATGGAGTGTTTTCAGAACTTATTTTTTCTCATCCAGCTTTGAAGTCAGGCAACAGTCAAGATGGCACAACAGATCTAGAATATTTTCAGGGCTCTCCGAAGCATTTTAGATGCTGACTTCAGCTTATTAGCTTGCTTGTTTGTTTAGCTAGATTTATATGCTAGTTATGTGACTCTCATATGGTATAAATTAAGAACTGGAAACACCAACAATTTCAAACGTTTAGGTCAGTATTTCTCAGCCTTAGCAATATGAAGATATGTGGACTAGACTTGTCAAATTTCTTAGGTTGAGAAATACTGATTTAGACACAGGGATGAGATCACAAATATAAACATTCACCTTCTAGAAAGGAAACAAAAATACACCCTTGTTCAAAAGCCCATTGAACAAAAAGGTCTTAAATGCTTTCTGAAAGGCTAACTACGTTAGACCTTGTCTGATAGGAGAATAATGTTCCAGAAAGGGAGACAATATGGAAAAGACTCTTCTGTGGGATGCTTGTACATGACAGTCTCTGAGGGCCAGGACAGAAAGGGGCCACTCTTAGAGATCATAACTGATGGGCAGACATCTCTAGGTGAAGGCAGTCCCATAGATGCCAAGGTCCTGAAATGAAGGACTTTAAAAATACCAACAGCCCTTTGAACTGAACCAGGTAACAAACTGGCAACTAGTGCAGTCCTTAGTTAGTACAGAGGTTCACAAGGCCAAAACAATTTCCCTGAACTACTGCATTCTGGCTATCTAAAGCAGCCCTATGAAGTGCATGCTGTAATAATCAAATGGGAAGTGACCAAGCCATGCATACAGTAAGCAATGCCAACCCAAGAAAAGGCCATAAATGGCACAAAGAAGATCCTCTTAGCTAAAGCTGTCACCTGCTCTTCAAGCAAGAGCCCTGAATCCAGGAGTACTCCCAGATTACAAACCAACTCTGCTTGGGGAATCCCATTAAGAGCCAAAGATGGAATATTTTAATAGTCATTCTTCCATGTCATTCTACTGTTCTTTTAAATTGGCTTTGAAATTCATGGATTATATTTCAAGTTTGTAGATTGTTTTTATTTAATTTTATTGCCTTCTGAAACTATGCCACCATAATTGCAACATTTTTCTTTAATTACAGAGAAATTGGGGACACTGCCACTGCTAATCCATATGAGGTAAATAAATTAAGCAGACTCTAATCAACATATTTACTTTGAAATCCATATAAACGCAAACAGTTTATCAGGCCAACTGAAAGTTTACCAAATAGTGTATCGTATATGTTCTACACATCTAAGAACTCTTTATTAGGAAAGGAAACTGGAAGATTAAAAGGCTGGCATAAAAACATGTCTGTCCTAGTTTTGCTTTTAGTGGAATATGAGAGATGCACACTTGCATTTCTTAAAGGTAAAGAAATTGCAACAAGTGATATTTTCAAAACTTTCTGCTGCATCTAGGTGGATGGGATGAACAAATTTAAAGAGGAGTCTCCTTAAATTTCTCGGTGTCCTTAAGTGAGGAAAGGCAGGTGGGTAGAGACTGCAGTTTCTTACTCACTAGGAACTAGTGGCTATGCATTTATGGGGCTGACAAGGAAGAGGGAGTCCAGTGTGGGTGGAGGTTTTTCAGAGCCAGGAAGAGGGAATAGTGCCAGGTTCACCACTTTGGGAAGCCACTGATAAAAATAGCATGCTTGCTTGGATGCTGCCATCAATATTTATATAGGTCAGTTTTCACAAAAATTAAATTGATACCACAATTTTTGACATACCCTGCTTTATGGGATTTCACAGTAAATATTTTTTGGAATTATAATTCACTTTTCTCAATCAAAATTGTTTTCCTCCTTACCAAAATACCCCAATGGATGAAAAATAGAAGAGATATCAGCTAGACATTAACAAAGCTAGGCATATGGTAACATGAACTATATGAAATATATCATCAAAATCAAATTGGGCTGTTTTAGCTAGTAGTGTTATGGCTTATACTCTCAGAATGTTTCCTGCAAGCTATATACCTGCTTAGTCAAAATGCCTCAGGGTTCTTCACTAGAACCGTCACCTTCCTTAGTAAAAGTATTCTATTTACTGTACAATCTCTTCATTTTTTAGCCTCAAGTTACAGACAAGGATATAGACAACGAATTCAAAACTCTATTCCAAACGCTTTCTGGGGAGGTAAGAGACAGATATAAATGTATATTCAAGATTAGATAAATAGTACATTTTTGAACTTTAAATTAACAGATCTGTATCACTAATTCATATCAACCAGTTTTTAAATTGGCATCATATAATCTTCCTTCATTTGCTTTGCTTAACAAGATGGCACAATGCTTTGGTTGCAAAAGCAAAAATAACTTTGGGATATGGGAGGGAGTCCTGTAGCAACTCTCTGACACTCCTTGTACCCTTTTCTGGGTGCCCATTGCAGCTGCAGCACAATCAGAAGTGGCATTCAGCACGTTCTGACCAGTTCTGGAGAAACGGTAGCAGAAATTTTGAGTAGTTCGGAGAACCAGTAAATACCACCTCTGACTGGCCCCGCCCCCAACTATTCTCTGCCTCCTGAGTCCCAACTGATTGGGAGAAAATGGGAATTTTGCAGTAACCTTCCCCTGTAGTGGGGAGGGAATGGAGATTTTACAGTAGACTTCCCCTCCCATGCCTACCAAGCCATGCCCACAGAACTGGTAGTAAAAAAAATTGAATCCCACCACATACAGTTATTTGCAAGATATGGCTGCTTCAAGAGCCTTGGCTTACTGGAGATTGTTATTACAGTGCTATATTGCTTTGTCTCTGACTCATAGATTATTTGCCAATTGAATATGTCAGTTAAAAACTAGCCAACTGGACACCATAATAATTTTTTTCCCAGTCCAGTCCAACAGATACATATACTCACCAGTCAAAGGTGGTATTAACCGGTTCTCCAAACTACTCAAAATTTCCACTACCAATTCTCCAGAACTAGTCAGAACCTGCTGAACACCACCTCTGGTACACATACTCATCTTTGACAAATATGAATATAAAGCTGATTTCATAAGTAACATGAGTGTGACATCTTCATAGCAAAAGGACTGCATACATTCAATCTACAGAAATAAAGATTCATTGGTTTCTGAAATCTCCAGCTGTTCTGACTAGGAGGATCCACCAATAAATGTGCTAAACCAGTGGTGGGTTTCAAAACTTGTTCGAACCTACTTTGTGGGTGTGGCCTCCTTTGTGGGAGTGGCTTGCTGCCCATGTGACCAGATGGGAGTGGCTTGCTGCCCATGTGACCGGATATGAAGAGGCCGACGACACTTGTCAGAACCACCTTAAATTACCTCACACACAGCACTGGCATGCATAAGAATAGGATGTAAACTTATTTTTCAAAAGGCATCTTTGGTTTGAGTTAAAACAACTTCAACACACACAATGTTCTGATTGCACCACAAACGCAGTAGTCATCCTTACCTTTCACAGAGGCACTGAGTTTTATAAATATGAGCGTGATAGTGTAGAATAATCATATCCAAGGACCAGTGGTGGGTTTCAAAAATTTGTGGAATCTCTTCTGTAGGTGTGGCCTGCTTTCTGGGTCCACTAGTGGACCTCTTCTAACCGGTTCAGTAGATTTGACGAACCAGTTCTACCGAATAGGTGCGAACTGGTAGGAACACACCTCTGTGTTAAACTCATTTAATGAATGGATCCTAGCTGCAAAGAAATGGATTTGGGAGTGCTAAATGAAACTTGATTCTGGCTGACTACAGAATCTTCCTAGTGGTGCTGTTTCAGATTGAAATTTAAACAAAGGATAAGGGTGTGATGGCCATTGCTGTGTTGCTTTTTATTGTGTGTATGTCTCCTTGATCTCTACTTTTCCTCTTTTATGCAGGATTGTGAACTGACTGCTGATGAACTTCAGACCATTTTGAATAGAGTCATAACAAAAAGTAAGTTGCAACTGATTTCAGGAAATAATGCAGAATTTTCAGAACCACTCCCTGATCCCTTTTGACTTTAAGGACTCTAATAATGACTTTGACCTTTTAAAACATGACATAGGCTTTTAAAAGAACCTTCTAAACAGATTATAGTATAATATCCTACTAGCCACTCCGGGCCAATATAAAATTAACTTGTTTCCTGGCTATAGGGTTTCTCTTTTTATATGTAAATTATTTATTTGTAAGTTGCCAGAATCAAGGAGACAGGAAGCCCTGAAATTGGACAAATTCATCTTCATCATCTAATACAAATTCCCAGTTACTTCTTGTTTTCTGGGATTCCAGTGAGTTATTTCTGAGAATATTGGGGCCCTAGAACTGTTTTTCAGATTCAGCACACAGCTTCTGTTTCTCTTTAAAGAGTAAACCCTTTTCCTGTAATTGGGAGAGAATGGGTTGAGCTTGTTCGGCAAGAACAAAAAACTACTTCTCCCTCCCTCTCTCCCTCCCTCCCTCTCTCTCCCTCTCTGTGTAATTTTTTTCTAGGTCATCTTTTCAAATTGTTAAAATTACTGAAGTTAATGTTAAATGTTTTTGTAATGAAATGGGAAATTGCTAGGTAACTGTCTTGACACCAGTATTCATGTGATCTTTCTTCTAAAAGGTATTTTTCTTCAAATTGAGCTAATAAAAATAAAACTTTTTTTTGCTTCAACTGGAGAGATTAAGATGCCTGAAGATCTTGTGTTACCATGGGATGCAGAAAAATATTTGAATAACATTTTTGTCTCTTTTATTGTATAGGAATAGACATTAAATGTGATGGATTCAACATAAACACCTGCAGAGAGATGATCAGTCTCTTAGATGTATCTTTTAAATGTCACCCTTCTTCACTGGATTTCCCTTGTGAACTTTTGCCTAGATAAGCCAAGATTTACATATCTCATTTCTGGTGCATCTGTCTTCACCTGCTATTGGCATAAAATGTAGAGTAGAATACTGATTTAAACCGTCTAGTAGCAAGGATAGTAAAACTTTATTATCAGCTGCATGGTTGTTTTCTTGCTGAGTTATATTCATGCTCTGCCTGAATTTTGCAATAATATCTTGTGCACTAACTACAGTTACCCATGTTGTTGTGAATAATCTAAATGTAATTGTAAAAACACATATACTCCTTCTGTGTGTATACATAATAAAAATATACAATACAGGTAGGTCTGAAACATCATAAACAGTTCTAATAGTTCACTTTTCACATACCCCCTAGCCTGAAAATAAGACCTCCCTGGATAATAAGCCCAATCGTGCTTTTGAGCACATGCACTAAAATAAGCCCCCCTCAAAAATATTGCAACACAGCAGTAGCCATGCTCACTGCCTCCTGCACCTCAAAAAATAATAAGACCTCCCCAAAAATAAGGCCAACCACTTATTTTTTTGGGGGGGGTTTCAAAAGAAAATAAGACCCTGTCTTATTTTTGGGGAAACATGGTAGTAACAGAATTGTAATCATTATTCCTAAACCAGTTTTCCAAGTTTGATAATTTCCAAATGGACTTGAGCACCTAGAAAGTAGGTTGTTACTTTTGTCTTTTAGCAAAAGATTTTCAGGAGGTAGTTGATTCTTACTGTTCCCAAAATACAATTCACATGGTTCTACAACACTATAATCATTTTTCAAATTGAGTCTAGATCTGATCAACCCACTATTTTAAAAAAAATAAAAACAAGAAGAGAGTTATCTTATCTTGGAGTCTTAGTGGACAACCAGTTAAATATGAGCTAGCAGTGTGTGGCGGCAGTCAAAAAAGCCAATGCAATCCTAAATTGCATTAATAGAGGGATACAATCAAGATCAAGTGAGGTACTAGTACCATTCTATAAAGCCTTAGTAAGACCACACCTAAAATACTGCATCCAGTTTTGGTCCACAAACTATAAAAAAGATGAAACACTAGAAAAAGTGCAGAGAAGAGCAACCAGGATGATTAGGGGAGTGGCTGCCACAGAGAGGAAGGGATCATACTATTTTCCAATAGTATCAGAATGTCTTGTTTAAGAATGTAAAAAAGCATTAAGAAAAATGTGTTCAAAATTTTGAATTAGACCTTAACACTAGCCAGAACGATGGAACTGGTATCCTGGGACTTGTAGAATTCAAGATCCTTTGGATGAAGATTCAGAAATATCTGGTAAAAAGCAAACTAATCCTTCCTAAATATGATGTCATCTTAAACTGGGGAAAAAACTGAGCAATAAAGAACTAATTTGAGATAAAGTAAGCATGTAGTTCTGAGATATGCATTTTATTCACACTATCAATAAAATCTTACTAGATTTGTTTCCAAACCCAATAGAGTTGTCTTCTGTCTGGCATTCAGTTCAGCAAGAGGGTAGGAAATTATCTGTGTTGCTAATTTTGCAGATCAGCTAACAACTTGGTTAAATCCTATGAAACTTTGGTAGGACAACTAATCACACATCTTCATCGGTAATGTTGCCAGCGATTTAATATACCAGTGAAAAATACCCCACTAAATTAACAGGTCAGAATAGCTTTTAAATGTATAATTGGATAAGAAACCATTTGAGCTGGGAAAAAATAGTTGTCTATTGTTCCTTTCAACTATTTCCCTCGGTTCCGCATCACAGTCTTTGGTAGAGAAGGAGGTTATTTCTCAAAGGCCATTTCATCATCTAACTTGTAAGCAACTTGAGTTATGGGAATCACTTCCCAGGACACACAGCTTGTCATGGGGTAATTGAATCCTCACTCCACCATTCAGTCTTAACAGAAACAACTATCTTTCCTGCCTGGTTGGTCCAGCCATTAATATCTACGATTAAGCTGAAAGAGCTGACAGTAGCTTCTCTCTCTCTCTCTTTTGGTCTAGGAAATCTATAAAAAAGTAGATATGAACTGTTCTGGAACCATAGAGGCACATGAAATGAGAAATGCTCTCAAGGAAGCCGGTATGTTTGTGAATGGTCAATTCCCCTCTCCCCTTTTTTCTCCAGGAAATGTTTTCTCATTGATTCATTTAGAAAAGATGGCTGTGAATCTGCAGCAGAATCCAACTGGCTTGCAAAAAATTATGGAATGTAATTTATTAACGACTGCAGATCATAACAACCTAACATACCATCATCATCATTCAACATTATCCCCTACCCTAGGTCCTCGGGAAGGATTTGATGGGTGGATAAAAATGCCAGATCAGTCTAAATATTCTAGGTAATTATGCAACCAACCACAATAATGCTAATAATAAATGTGACATATAAAGAAGTTAAGCTAAATTAAAACCAGTACTTCAATTTAAGAACATACAAATCTTTAAGAAAGGGCAACTTGACTGCTAATAAATGACATAATGTCCATGAAAATGTAATTCATTCATTCTGCACCTGATTCTTTAATTTTGCCTATCAGTGGTTTTTCCCCCTGATGTAATCATAGGACAGTAGGGGACATACTTGGATCAAGAATATTTTCCCTAGACTTTCCTCTAAAGCTGACCTTCTTCTGTTGTTCTCCAGCTGCTCTCCTCTTTGACAAATGTGCTATTTTTAATCTGTGCATTTAGGCAGCTTGGAAGATACAATCTACACTTGCATAGAGCTCCATATATGGAACTCCAAAACAGGGTCCTTCTTATAGAAAGGAGCTCCATGTAGTTATCAAAATGTGTGGCCAATCATTTCCCACATGAGTTTTATCATTTGCCTCCCTCTGCAGAAGCCCCTGTGTCTCCTTATGTGTACAGAACATGCAATTGTCATTCATCAGCCTCACTCTGAAGTTCATCATAAGCAAGTTTAATAATTACAGTAGGAGCTTTTTCAAAAAAGCTCCTAATTATTAAATTAATTAAATACTTTGTTAAACTTCCTGGATCAGGATGCTCTGTGTACAGTCACTTATGCCCTCGTCCTTTCTCGACTGGACTACTATAATGCTCTTTACATGGGACTGCCTTGAAGAGCACCCGGAGACTTCAACTGGTCCAGAATGCGGCTGCACGGGTTATCATGGAGGAACCTAGGTGCTCCCATGTTGCGTCCCTTTTAGGCGGCCTGCATTAGTTGCCGGTTGTCTTCCGGGTGCGATTCAAGGTACTAATTATGACCTTCAAAGCACTCCATGGCTTAGGCCCAGGATACTTGCGAGACCACCTACTGCCACCGGTAGCCTCCCACCGTCCAGTGCGATCCCACAGAGTTGGCGTCCTCAGGGTGCCGTCGGCCAAAAAGTGTCAGCTAGGACCCCCGGGGGAGAGCCTTCTCTGTGAGAGCGCCTTCCCTCTGGAATGAGCTGCCTCCAGAGCTTCGTATAATCCCTGACTTCCGGTCCTTTCAATGCGCCCTAAAAAGTTGACTTTTCCAGCAATCCGGCCTGGCCTGAACAAAATAAAATAAATGATTGATTATTGTTAATTTTAATTGATTTTTTAAAAATGTTATTGTGAATCTTAATTGGCTTTGTTTTTTGGATACTCTATCTATTTTTTTTTAACTTTTGTAATATGTGGGAGAAGGGCGGCATATAAATCCAATAAACCAAACCAAACTTTTTATTGCACCCAGTTTTCATATGTACCAGTATATCATGCATTGAAGAAAAAAAAAATTCCCTGGGTTTCAGTGGAATAAACTTCTAGTATGGTATGCACCAAATGTTCTAAGCAATGACCACAGATTGGGTCTGCAAGCAAGATGTCTGCTTATTTTTCTTGTGCACTTTGTTCTGTATGGTGGCAAGAAACTTCCACCATACAGAACATATTCATATTCATATTCAGTGCAGCAAATCAGTGCACATTAGGATGCAGGGCCAGCCTGAATGGCCCTGTTCCATTTATCCTTGAATTAATGCTTGGAACAGAGTGACAGAGTGGAAATATATTGTAACTTTATATATCATAATCATTGGATCAATTAGAAGTATATATTTCTGCCAACTAAGAATAATAATTCATGCATTGGATTCCAGCTAGGCCCTAACAGCTAATGGTATTTTATCTTCAAAGTGCCTCAGAACTCTTTGTACAGGGGAAAAAGTATCCATTCAGGGGGATAAAAAAGAGATTCTCCAGAGGGAAAATGCTGACTTTCAGTAAACGCATCTATCCATCTAGACCAGCAAACGATAGCTGCAGCTGGCAATTAAATTAAGCTTCAAACACTGGAAAAAGTGTGGTTTGTATGAAATTGACTCGCAACTTGCAACCAGAGGTCCCATTTCACTGGACTGGATGTATCAAAGCTACTCTAATTAGGTACTTATCCTTCAAACAGAAGAATAGGGAAAATCCTGTGAAGTAGCTGACCTCTTCAAGGCTTGATAGGGGAGTTTAAGGTCCATGCCTGGTTCAGAAGAAAAGATGTGAGATAATAGAGCAAATATTATATTATAGAGCAAATGTTTTCAGCCTAGCACTCTTCAGTGGGGTTGGGATTAGAATTCCTAAATGCTCAACTTTATATAGGAAGTGCACTGAGAGCTGCAGGTATTGAGGCATACCAGTTGATTAATGCTGTGAAAATCTTCATTAGCATTGTTCTTCCAGGACTCTAAATCCCCAAATGTTCTATCTGCAGCAGATAGGAATTGCTAACTGGTGTGCTTTCTCCCCTTATTGTAGTACTGGGGTGGAAAAAAGGATCCCACAATTACAATTTGCAAAATTATCCTTTCTCCAAAGCATCAGCTTCCCTCTGCAGTATCCTAAATTCAGGTTGACAATACAGGCTGTCATGATTCTCTCTGCATTCTTTCTTCATAATAAATCATACTATGAATTAACATGATAATTAGCTCATAGAACATGCTGCAATGATACGGGATTTTCACAATGTTGCCCAGCTGAATTTTTGCCTGATCAAGTTTAGTACGAAATGATATGCTGAGTGTGCAAGAGAGACTAAAAACTTATCTACATAGCCCCCTTGATGTACTTCCCACATTTCATGAGTCAGGAGGAAAGTATATTACTGGGAAATCTGATGCCCCATGAGCCCTAAACATAGTTCCCCCTAATCATTCTTGAAATATGCAACCCCAGGTTGCTAGTAGCAGGTATAATCTCCCTCTAAATTTTCATATTCTGCCAGTGCAGACCAATGCCTAAACATCTGCTTTTGTGGACACATGGTGTGGACTAGATTCAAGAAACTGGCCAATTGAATAGATTAAACATAATCTATTCCAAATTTGTTTCAATATTTAAAATAAATGAATTGAGTGATATTTGTCAATCAAGAAAATCAAATAATAAATTAAGAATAAGTATCCCAGGAATATTGAAAGTTGAGTCATGACAACTGGGCTTATTTTCTCATAGGTGTGAGATGTTTCACTGCTCTACTAAGAAGCTTCATCAGTCAGAGAAAGTTAGGGAGTTCATTGACATACTGCCATACACTTTGGGGTAGAAACCCCTGCGGTTGGTACGGGAGGAGTTGGTACATTACGACGAGTCTCTGCCTAACTGACTTGCTCTGACTTCTGCTTGGATGAGCAGCGAAAATCTCAAACCGACAAGACAAGAAGTCCATTTGCCATGACTCAACACTCAGACAACTTTACCTGAATGACTGAGAATCTTCATCAATATATCTATCCCAAGAATATTTTCATTCTTTTGGACATTGTATAAGAGTTTGATAACCAAAAATTAGAGGAGTCTGATACCATCCCATGCATTTAATGAAGTGGCCATCAGCTGATGAAAATACATTTAATAAAATATATTCATTCTTTTAGGTTTCCCTATTCATGCCTCTGTCCTGGTGCATTCAGTCAACAAAAATCAATGGAGAAAAAAATAGGAGTCAGGGATAGAAGTCAGACTTAAGTAAACATTCTGCTCACAAGCCTCCAAGTCTTACCAAACCCTAGTAAGATTACTTTTAAAATTAACATATTTTCCTCAACCTGGTTTCCTCTAGTTGCATTACACCTCAGAACTCTAGTCCCAAATTACTAGAAGAGCTTCATATTGGGGATAGTTTTGCCAAGAATATACATACGTATTAGGAAGAATAACCACTCAGTAATATCTGTTTAGAATTCTGGTGAGCAATCTGGGAGTTGAGGTTCACATATCTTAAAATGGTCAACTTTGAAAAACATTGTTCTAAACTGTATTGAACTGGCAGAATTAAATTATGGAGGATCAGCACAATCACATGCCCATGTATTAATTACGGGCCTTCCTTCTCCACAGGTTTCAATCTCAGTAACAAAATCCAGCAAAGTATAATTATTCGTTATGCCTGCAGCAAGCTGGCCATTGACTTTGATGGCTTTGTGGCCTGTATGATTCGTCTAGAATGCTTGTTCAGTAAGTATTCCTAAAAGAAGAAGGGGGTGGGGGATGGAATCTGCTACTACTTTACATCTCCCAGCAAGAATTTTTTACCAACAGGCAAAATATTTTTAACCTAACTACCTCTGTCAGTGATTGAGAACTATTGTAAAATGTTTCTATTTTATTAGACATATTAGATAAACGGATCCCAAACACATTCTATCAGGCAAAGCAGATATACAGTAGGCACGTATTGAAGATACATTATTCTTTTAAAAAGTTCCAATGAGCCAATAGCAGCTGCCTAAGATATTAATTGCAATATTTTATTCTGAGATCAGTGTTATTATTTAAAGATTTGAAGGTCCAACATATTTGCAATTGAAGAGCAGTTTGTTATAATATATGGAAAAGCTTTTGGATATTTGGATATTTAAAAAGGGGAAATCATGAGAGAGAATTTATATGATACATACACAGACTCTCACATATACACTATGGGGTCCAAGTTAAAAGTTTTCCACTTGAACAAATCAGTGAGTCAACTTGATTAAAGCCCAAGGCCTGCCTGATCTCCACATTTGAAGTTAGGAGCAAGGTCTTCCTCAGGGTCTTTTAGTTTTGGTTATTGGATGAAATCACTCTTGTCCTCTTGATTAGTCTGTCTGACCCAATTTACTTTAAACACATAACTTTTCAGTTAACCCTACACTGAAAGGAAGATCTTTAGAGGTTTTAGGTAATACTGCTTTTGATAAAAAAAACCAGTGAAATGAAGTTCACATTGCTCTCTTAATTCTAAGACTTACATAAGGAGAAGAGAGTTTTGTGCACATTGTAGAAGAAACTTTCCAGTTTCTATTATAAAGTGATCAGATTTTAAGATGGGTAAAGCGGGACACCATTGACAGGGGGGGGAGGGCTCGGAGCACCTGAGCTGTAAAAAAAAAAAGAGGGCTGTAAAACCATGAAGCGTTACCCCTGCCGTTGCCGCCTCCCCCGTGCTTTTGAGGAGCATGGGGCCTTTTTTTCCTGCTCCCGCCCCCTCTGCCGTCTTCCTGCTGGCTCCCGCGGCCTTGTGGCTCCTCAAAAGCACGGCGGAGGAGGAGGCGGTGGCGGCAGGGGTAACGCTTCATGGTGCTTTTATTTACAACCCTCTCTGAACAGTTTACAGAATGGAAAAAACCCTTTCAAAAGCCACCCCCATCACCAGCCTCTCCCAACCGGATCCCCACCTGCCTCCCCTTGGCTCACCCGGACCAGGTTGCTGACAGCGGCTTGCACGGCATGGCTGCAGGGAGAGCGGCACCCGAGAGAAGCAGGCCAAAAAAAACAAAACCTGACGGCTGAGCCACTTGGCTCGGGACCGAGCCTCCTCCTTGCCGTGCTGCCACCACCGGAAAACCCCCTCTGCCCGAGGCCACCGGACGGCTGTCACAAAAATGTCACGCGTCGGGGTGTGCACGCGCAGGAGGGGAGGGAGCCTTAGCCCTCGTCGGGCGCTGCGAGCGAGCTGAGCGGAGGGAGGGAAACCACTGCCCTCTAAAGGCCACATTAGGAATGACACTTCAGAGAAATAAAACCTTTTTTTTAATGGCGTCCTTTTTTAAAATTGATGATTCGGCATCTTTTCTTTCTTTTGGAAAATCAGGACTTTTTGAACACGCCGCGGGACATGGGACAAATTTTGAAAAATTGTGACTGTCCTGCCAAAAACAGGACATCTGGTCACCTTAGACTGTTATATAAAACCTCATCTAGAAGTAATTGAACTTCAGATTCTGGCCAGGTTTTAATTACAGTACCTCAATTCATCATTTGTTATTCATTTTTGGCTTATCATGCACTTTTGGCTTATCACACATTAAATCTAACATCTGCTCTTGTTTCGCTACTCAGAAATGTTTCAGATACTAGATAAGGATAAAGATGGAACAGTTCAGCTTTCTTTGACAGAGGTAAGTGCTGTAGTAAACTATTTGCATGGCTAAAACTTTAGAGTGATAATACGATATTAATATCAAATCACCGTCACTGCAAAGTTATTCCAATTACAATGTTTACCAGCCCACCATTCACACAAATGGATGTGCATGCATGCGCTCTCCTGTTGCTCGTGTGTGGGGATACTCATGCACATACTGTCAATCCTGAAGCGAACCTGGCTGATCCCATCTTTGAGGCTTCAGAGTTGCCACAAGGAAGAAGAAGGGACAGGGAGGGGGGAGATAGATAGCTGGGGTTTTGTAGTCAAAACATTTTTTTTTCCTGTGGGAACCAAGGACATTCAAACAAGTGGCTGGAGAGAGGAGGGGTTGAATAACCAAACATCCGGCCAGCACCTATATTGGACAATGTGACTGATGACTTGGGGGAAGGGGGAATTTTTACTTTTTAATCTCGTGAAAACTGCTGGAACTTTCAGAATCGTTTTTCACCAGTTGTGCCAATATGATGTATCCAATAAATTGTTCTTTAAGGAATTTACCTGTCTTGTAGTTCTGCTTTCTATGGGTGCATTACTTGGAACGCTGACATACATACCCACCTGCCGTTTTTGTGGCCCGCTTGCAAACACCTCACAGCCCACTAATGGGCTGCGGTCCAGAGGTGTTTGCTAGGGCAGAGGGACTCCTGCCCTAGCAGACAGCTCTAATTCCCTAGTAAGCAGAATCCACAGTATGCCTTCTTTGCCAGACCTGATAGGGTGGATAGCTGTAATTGGGGAGAGCTTATTGCAAATAGCACTGGAAAGGGCCATACTCTGACAGAATTAAGAAAACAGTAATGAAAAATACAGAAAGAGGTGCCTTTACCAAAGAGGTATTGCAACAGTTGACTTCATGAACGAGGTCCAGCCCCACCTAGATTGAGTATATGGTGCGTTGCTTTTAAACTTGTTTTCTCTTTCCCTATTTTTAACTTTTTATCTTTTAGTCTTGTTTTTGTAAGCCGCCCGGAGTCCTACGGGATTGGGCAGCATATAAATTTATTAAATTACAATTAATTACAATTAACAGTTGATGACCAGAAAAAAAAGACTGCACAGTTCATAAAAAAGACTTAATAATAGCATTACTAAATGTTGGCGCTGCAATCAAAAGGAAACCTGGAGACTGTAAAAGGACTACGGGTTGCCCAGCACTTTTAAATGATCATAAATTTGGTTGGACGTTCGAAAGGTCTCTACCAGCAAGTGAGGAAATATTGCAATAGTAAATTCTGTGAAACTTTAAATAAGTAGCTGCGTATTATCCTAATTCTTATATTCTCTCTCTCTTCCTTAGTGGCTGTGTAGTGCATTGATCTAAAGCATTATTTTTGGCAATCATTTGGAAACTGGACCAACTTATCATTCCACCAAGAAGTTTTTGAGAAAAAGTTGATTCCATGACCTTCTAAAAATATGAGGAATTATGCCAGGCTCTAGTGTATAATTTTAAATAATCATAAAATAAACAATTATGCATAGAAATATTGTATAGCAAGCATAGCCATATTAGCAGCTTTGATTTAATGAATAATATGTATTATGAAATCTATGTTTTGAAACTGTGATTAAAATTGAATTCATTTCTAATTTTATTTCTATATAAAAATAATTCATCTGCCTCCATTTTGCACCTATCAGAAAGCTGTATGTCTTGCCTAAGAATAGAAATTGATTTATAAAATATCTAGTATTTCTATTTTCCAAAATGGGAGATCATCCATCCTGGATGAGAAGGAAGATGAAAATTAAATGAGCTGGAGAATATCATGGGCTTAGAGCCAGGCAGCCTTACCTCAAAGCATAAATAATTGGCAAAAATCTAATGTGAAGTTCAGTTAAAAATACTGAAAATATACTAAAAAAAATATGAAGCAAAATGGAAGAGAACTGAACGGGGTCAGTAGTTTAGAATAACCCCCAAACTGAGACTGACCTTCCTAACAACAATAACAATATAGCACAATAGTGCTAGAACTTAAAGAAAGGATAATGAGAATTAAGAAGGATTTTTTTTAAAAAAAAAAAACCTGTTACCGAAGCTGCTTTTTGGCTAATCAAAAACCAAAAGAATCCCAGTAAGTTGTGGAAGTGAAGCAAATGAAATTATCTTATTAGGTCTCCCCACAAGAAGAACCAAGGGATTGGGCAAAGGAAAGCATAATTTAAAAACCTGTTTAATTCAGCAGGTTAAAACAGCTACCAGCAAATCACAGATACAAGTAACTCTTACTAGGAGAATCTACTAAAATGAACAAAGCCACATAGTGCAGATCAAATCTTTGTAATGATAAAAAGCAGCATAAGGAGAATGGGGCACGGTCAGTTAAAAAGCATATAAAATACATCAGCATCTTAAAATAATGTTAATGATATATAAAATAAAATCCAAATAAAAAGGGAGTCTTTCAGAAGTTACTCAGTGATGTTGGAATTGATTCATCCTAGCTTACTATTACAGGGGCATTTTGATTTGAATGAACATTTACCAATCATCATGTGAAATAAAATATATTTTCCTTCTCGTTGCTCCTGTCTTCATTGTACTCCATCAGTGTTTGAGAAAGTATTTTAAAAAGTGCATGGCTCCAAAGGGTTGGAAATCAGGAAAGGAATTTGGCAGAAATCCAGTTATGGACTGGAGTTAAGTTGGGTTGAGTCATTTTGCTCTAGGCCAGGGGTATCAAAGTCAAGGCCCGTGGGCTGGATCCAGCCTGTGGGGTGCTTAGATCTGGCCTGTGGGACCGCCCTGGAAATAGCGAAGGACCGGCCCACGGTGCTTCTGCCAGTGAAAATGGAGCTTGGGGAGGCTGCATGCCACCTGCCTGGACTCTGTTCACAGCTTCCCCAAGCTCTGTGTTTGCTGGTAGAGGGCTGCAGGAAGCTGTCACAGCCCAAAAACAGAACCTGGGTGGACTTCATACAGCCTCCCCAAGCTCCATTTTTGCTGGCAGAGGGCTAGAGGCCGTCGCGGCCGAAAATGGAGCCTCGACGAGTAACACACCCACTGGCCCCACCCATCCTGGTCATGCCAACCCCAGCCACACACCCCTCCGGCCCCCTGAGGTCAAACACAACCCTGATGTGGCCCTCAATGAAATTGATTTTGACATCCCTGCTCTGGTCTGTTGAAAAATCCATTCAAATTATTCATTCATTCTTTCATTATAATTTTATCTTACATTTCTTTCAGGATGAGCTATTTTGTTCCTTTTATAATGGTCTATTCTATAATAATCTATAAATTTTTTAATCCAGAAGTAAAAATTGGAATATTTAAGCTACACTGTATGCTACTGTTAGCATAACAAAATGTTATTGATTTTCAGGAAATGAAATAAGACTTTGAGAAGAAGACGAGCCAGGGGCAAAAATGCATGATGCATTCCTAAGAGCACTTTGTGTTAGGCCTATATTAGAACACTTCACATAATTCAAGGGTATGATTGAGTAAGTAGTGGAGGCTGCCCATATTTCCTCCATTAAGCGCTGACTAGCCTGGATGGGGAGTATAGCTAACAAAACATTATCCAGCATTGTTCAGGACCAAGGAATTTCTTTTCCCCATTTTCCTTTCCAGGACTGCAACATAAGAAACAGTCTCAAATTAGTCTTCTGCTCCCACGCCTAAAGACCCTTTGGCAGGTATGCATCAAACATACAAAATAAAAGCTCTTTCTACTTGCTTCTCAGCCTCCTTAGGCAGGTTATCTTAACTGCATGATTCTCTACATCTATCTCTAGGCTCCTTCATGCCCACCTGGATGAGCAGAGCAGAGTGCAGCACTCCATTCTCCCTTATCTTTGGAAGGCAGGAAGTACTTGCTCCTTCAGTGGAGCTTTGATCACTGGTGTCAACAACTGCTGAAAACCAAATCCTTTTCACTGCACCTCCTTTCCCTTTCCTCTTGAGGCTGCATCCAAGAAAAACCAATTGAGGCAGCATGTCTTTTGACAAACTCAACTGCTTATCACTCTCTCTTCTGCCTTAGCTTTTAAAAGGTGCTTCTCCCAAAATGCATACAAGCTACTTCAGGTGCACAGCAGCAGAATGGTGCGAGCTGAAGGGTAGGCACAGCAACTTCCAAATACTATCTGTTAGGATTAGAATAGATAATTGGATACTAAATTCTATGCCTCACCCTACCTCTCAAGTCTTAATATATATGGAAACACAGTGACTACACCATTTTCCAATACACAGGCTATGAACCAAAGAAAGAAAGCAGATTCTGGTCAATTAGAAAGAAAATAGGGTGAGGAGCAGAATGTCTTGAGAAAATATAATGACCTCTCAAGCAGAGGCTGTATAAGCCACTTATTGAGCTTTTTCTAGATTTTCTGCATTAGAAAATTAGAACTGATTCTGAACTACATGCAAGGGTCAAGGACTCTCTTGACCCTTTAAAGAAACTTTGAATCTTTAATCACAAAAAATAATGATAATTTTTGCTGATTGTATTTAATTTCTTTAATTAATATTAATGAAATACATTTTTGTTCTTGCTTTGGAATGTCCCGCTCTGCACATTCTTCATATTTAAGTATATTCCTCAAATCAAGCATTGTTCCATACCAGTGCACTAAGATACAGACAGAAACTATTTAATTTACTCTTTCTTAGTATCAAGAGCCAAGACTTTGGCAGAGTTCTCCTTTAATGATACTTAAGTCTCTTTTTTTTGTTTTTTGTTTTTACTGTGCTCAGACTTGGACAGGGATATAAACACTGAAATACAGGGAGATTTTAATTCTCACTGGTGCTATCCAATAGCTTGATATCTGTACAAATAACTTATAAAGGAAAAGATCGATACATTTTCTAGCTTCTTTACTTCCTTCTCAGTGGCAGCTCCTTCCTTCTGATTTGTGAGTCAACCTACAGTAATATATCTTGTGTGTATTAAAAATGGATATGTAGAGTGTGTTCACCATTGTCATTGGTAAATTTTGATTTATGGCACAGCATTGTGGCTTACTCCACAAACAAATGTCTGCATGGCACAAAATGTTCTAATCACTGAATCATCAGATATTGCATTGTTTGTCTAGTGTCACGTTCTGAGTGCTCAGAGAAAAGCTAAGTGCCAGTACAAATGGAGGAGATGGATGGAAAAACATGAATAAGGAATATGGACAAGAATAAATTCAGCTAAGGAAAGGACATGAGCTGAAGAAATTATCAGGCATTAATATTTTCTTTAATTTATAAATAGCACCAATCAAATAATCTTACAGCAGACAGCCCAGGAACCTGTCCTTAAGGAGCAGAACAATTGCATAGCATTAAAATTATTAGCAAAAAATAATAATCTAAATAGCTAATTTTAAATTAATAATTAGTTGTCTAAAGAGTAAGTGCTACGCAATAGATTTTAAGTGCACCTTTCAGTCATAATTATGACTTTCCCTTGAGGCATGGGTAAATTGGTTTTGTTCATTTTTGTTTTCTTTACTTATTTATTAGAGCCAACTGGGTAAGTATTCACAATAACGTACTTCAGAATGATATCGTAAAATAAATCAGATTAAACAAAAGCTAGTTTTATCCATATCCTGAGCACATGAAGTTGAGACAAAATGGTTGAACCTTTATAGCAGTGGTGAAATTCAAATTTTTTACTACCGGTTCCGTGGCTTGGTGGGCGTGGCTTGGTGGGCATGGCAGGGGCAGGATACTGCAAAATCTCCATTCCTCCCCATTCCTGGGGGAAGGATATTGTAAAATCTTCATTCCCACCATACTCTGGGGCCAGCCAGAGGTGGTATTTACTGGTTCTCCAAACTACTCAAAATTTCCGCTATGGGGTTTTCCAGAACCTGTCAGAACCTGCTGAATTTCAGCCCTGATTTATAGCTAGGCTCTCATTAAGGTATAGATTAATTTTTAGGCCAAACACTCAAAATTACGGACATACCTATTACAGTGGCTATATTCAGCAACACACTGCTTTAAATTCCATGGTGCATTTGTTTTAAATAAAATTCTCAGGTTGAAATGTGTACTGTGACTCTAAGTTAATGCAGAAATACACTTTGCCCATTAAAGCCAATAGAATTTATTACCCAAGAAATGGCTTCAGATTGCAATCATAATTGAAATGTTCAATATGTTTGTTTGAGAATTAATCCAATTAATTACCATAATTATTTCTGAATTAAAAACACAAATAAGAGTGTGCTGTTAAATTTATTAGCAAAGGTTACTGCTTAATGAATATTACCATCAAGTCAAATTGGTCCCTATACAGTCTAAATGCAACCTAAACCTTCCCTCTACAGCTATATTGGTCTGACTTTTCCATTCATCCCTCTTCTTACAGTAATCTCCTCTAGTAATGGACGTATTTTAAGACTAGAGATCTCTCTCAGGTCTGGTTCACAAATAATTCTTTAAACATGGTTTGTTGAGAAAGCCCTAGCAGCCCATGTCAACCATAAAGAATGGACTCATTGAGCAAAAAGCAAACAGACTTCATAATGGCTTAATATTCTACACGAATCTGCCCTCTGTTTTTCAGATGAACAAGTGATTATGGTTTCTGTGGCCAATTCTTAATTTATGTTCTCTCCCTTTATTGCTATTCATCCCTTAATACTCTTAAACGTTTGGGGACTAAATCTGGGAATAAAAAAAAACGAAACCAGGAATAAGTATGGAAAGCACAAATAAATATTTTATTCTAATGTGCATATTCCCTAACCGCAGCTGCATCTGGTCAACCAAAAACCAACCTTGAATAAAACAATAAGAGGAATAAATGGGCACAAGTCAAACTTCAGAAACAATGGCACTATTTTTTTATAAAAAGAAGGGAAACACTCCATTCTCCTTAAGACATTCTCCATGTGGTAATACTTGAAACACCCAATCAGATTGTAAAACAGTAGAGCTGAAATTCATTCAAAGATTCAACCCCATTTTTCACAGATTAAAAATAGTTCAAAGCTTTTTATCACACTACTTAAATTAACTAGCAGAAATATCAGTGTCACAGTAAGCGCTACCTCATGTTGGTCACTAAAGCAGTTCATTTCTCCACCTTCTGTTGTCCCATCGTTCTCTTCTCTCAGAACATTAATGTCTTGTGATAATAGATTTATTGGTCAGGGAAGCCATAGCACACTTTATTTTTACTGCAAAAAGATGAAACGCTCCTCTTTAAGTTATTTATGATCATTATTTAAAACAATTCTGTCCCTCCGATGTCTTCATTTACCATTCCCCTTTCCCTTTCTTTTCATCAACACTGACAGGCAACCCCAATTTTACCCCCATTCTTAAACCTCTGCCTTAATTGTCTGTCCTCAGGCCATGACTTAAGTGCTGTTAAACAGCTCTTTTCTCTACCCTCTCAGAATTATTCAATAACAAGACACAGAGGAGAATGAAGAGACTCAAGAATTTTTTTTATGACAGAAACTTTTCATAAAACCATAGTAAGGGCTGGGGTCCACTAAGAGTCACTGATGAAAAATAGAACTGAGATTTATTATCTTCTAGCTATTTTCCTGGATATCCATTGTA